CACAACAACAATTCAGAAAACATTATAACAAGTCAGAAAACACAATGACATATTCAAAAACAAATTAACAAGTCAGAAAACACAATGACATATTCAAAAACAAATTAACAAATCAGAAAACACAATGACATATTCAAAAACAAATTAACAAATCAGAAAACACAATGACAAATCAGACAAACCGGAAGAGGTAGGTATAGTTTGAGACAGCACCATTGGTTTGGGATTACTCACCGCTGATTGGACGAGACATCTGTCAATCAACGTATACAGAGAAGAACCAGCCGAAGAACAGCAGAGTCGTGGTATAAAGTTCAGAGATGGTATTAAAGTAGCTCAGTTTAAATGTATTGTATGAATTGCTCTTACTCTGGAATAAAAAATACGGAGTGCATATTTACATTTAGTAAAAAGTGGCTGTGAAACGTCAGATTCAGTGGCACAGATGGATGAGCGTATGTCACCGACTTTTTGACGCAGATCGACCCGGGTTCGATCCCGCCTTTTGCTGAGTTTTTTTCCCTCCCTTTTCAAATCTCGTATTAGCAATGGATTATATTTACACTAAGTGAAAATAGCAGTATTTTTAGCAATATGCTATTTACACTAAGTGCAAATACTTAGTTACGCTATGTTAAAATAGCAGGATTTCTACTATCAAGTATACTACTTGTTGCAAATAGTGGCAATTGTCTACACCAGTATTGCAGTACATTATAAAACAGTATGCAATAATAACGTATTGAGTGTAAATTTTAATTTTAATTATTAAATGGATGCCATTTAATAATTGGTACAATAAAGCCAAGTTAAGGATTATTTCCTTAATTTTTATTGAAAATAAATGCCTTTACGATGTGATACGAGATTTGAAAAGGGAGAAAAAAAGTTTGGCAAAAGGCGGGATCGAACCCGGGTCGATCGCGTCAAACAGCCAACAACACGCACTTATCCATCTGCATCACTAGAGCTGATGATTTACAGCCACTTTTAACTCAATCTAAATATACACTCCGCATTTTTTATTCCAGAGTAAGAGCAATTCATACAATACATTTAAACTGAGCTACTTTAATACCATCTCTGAACTTTATACCACGACTCTGCTGTTCTTCGGCTGGTTCTTCTCTGTATACGGTGATTGACAGATGTCTCGTCCAGTCAGCGGTGAGTAATCCCAAACCAATGGTGCTGTCTCAAACTATACCTACCTTTTCAGGTTTGTCTGATTTGTCGTTGTGTTTTCTGACTTGTTCATTTGTTTTCAGATTTGTCATTGTGTTTTCTGACTTGTTATAATGTTTTCTGAATTGTTGTTGTGCTTTCTGAGTTGTTATTTTGTTTTTTAGACTTGCATTTGCATTTGTAATTTGTTATTTTGTTTTCAGAATTGTGATTTGTTCTGCACTTCTCGGCCACCGTAGTGCAGTGTATGTTTCATTCATACTCAAAGCTGGAGGGCCTCTCCCGCAGAAAGTCCTATGAGGAAATTCCTAATATGGACAAAAGCGTCCAGCTATCGCTGTATGAAAACAGTTATTTTCAGAAAAACAGAAACGTTTGGAAACACGAAGACATTAAACATTAGATTGTGACAATATGCTTTGTGTTTGCCAAGTCATCTCCAGGTAATAAATTAAATATATGAACAATGCAGTGCTAGCTGACATAGCATTTATTACAGTATTGAAACTATTCTGCCTTATGTGATAAAAAGTGTTTGTAGTATATAAACAAATCATTATTATTGGTTATTGTCCAGCAGTTATCTGATTTCTAAGCCAATTAAAAGCTAGAAATTAGAGAAAAATTTAAGTTGACTAAACACTAGTTAAAAGTTTTTGAACAGTAAGATTGTTCATGTTTTTTTAAAGAATTCTCTTCTGTTCACCAAGCCTGCATTTATTTGATCCAAAGTACAGCAAAACAGTACAATTTTGAAATATTTTTAACAGGCTATTTCAAATAACTTTTCTATTTGAATATATTTTAAAATGTAATTTATAGTGATTTCAAAGCAA